GGATTTCTTATTATCTTATTTATTATTGTTTTATATTACTGTAAGTGTATTTATTTTTTAACATTCTGTTTTATTAAATAGTTGCATACAATTGTATACATAGTGGTTTAAATTTACTATAGTAATTAGTGATTAATTTTGATTATATACATATTTCAGATAACACTTTCATAATGTACATTTTAAAATTCCTCCCCTTTTAAATTGGGGTGATGGAAAGCCTATATTTTTCATTGGAGAAAATGGTTGATTATGAAACAATTTTGTTGATGTCCAACAACCACACAATAAATTGCTAATCTATTTTGATTTTATAATGTCTATAAGTTCTACTAGAGGTAACTAGGGGTGCAACGCGGGCGAATTGGGTGGGTTGGACAGTCAACCCTAGCCCAACTCTAGGTATATAATCTTCAACCCTAACCCTAACCTCGGGTTGAGGGACTCAACCTGAACACTACCCGAGTTTAATTCGGGCAGGCTCGGATTGAATTCGAGTTACTTTACAATTTTAATTCGGGTTGAGCCCAAAATAAACTTATTGTTCTAAACGATTTAGACTAAACTTGATATATATATTACATAATATTCATCTAAATTAACAACCAACAACTTCAATCAAATTTTTAACTTAAAAATCATAATATTAAGAACTCAATGTTTGAGATAATGCAACCACAATCATACAGAACACAAATAAACACAACCAGAATCCTTGCACAAATATAGAGTTCACTACTTAAGTAGGCTCAGATGCAAGATTAGCCAGAGATTCAGCATTTGTCTCTGTCTCCCCCATTAGTGACATGTATTGATTTACTGTGCCATAAAATCAAAGAACAGAAAAATAATCAATTTATGCAGCTAAAAGTAAAATATTAGACTTGAACAAAATCTAAAAAAATAATTTTAGACTGATATACTTCCAAAGAAATTCTTAATACATCGTTTGACTATGAAAAAAAGGATCAAAAGAGGACAAAAAGTTTAATGTCATAGAAGGTTGGAAAAGAGGCGTAGAAAATTGCATCTGAGAGTGAAAAGAGGTCTCAAAATTAACTCTGTAAAAATTAACTCTGAAAAATATGAAAATAAAAATGCAAATTGCATACCTGATCTGAGATCGATGAAGGGAGATGGGTAGATAGTAGATCTGCTCTGAGATGAAATCTGAGTTTTTGATCTGACATGACGAAAGAGGCTAAGAGAGGGCTGAGACTTTGAGAGAAAGAGATGAAGATGAAGGAGGCTGAGAGGGATGAGACTTTGACAAAGACGAAGGACTGCTTCGGAAGGAGGTTGAGACAGGGCTGAGGGCTGAGACAGATCTGAGAGTGAGAGTGAGAGTGAGAGAGACTGAGATTGAGGGAGGGAGGGAGGGAGGTGTAGACTAGATAGTAACCCTAGGATAAAATTATATTTATATAGTATTAATTCGGGTTAAACCCGATGCCTCAACCTGAGGCCCGCCCAAATTAAATTCGGGTTGAGATTTTTTAACCTAAACCCAACTCAAGTATTAAAAACCCTATCCCAAGTCCTAATTTTTTTGGGTTAGCTCGTCTAAGTTGCACCCCTAGAGGTAACTCATACTTGAAAGCACAGTACAACGTAGGTGAGAAGTGATGGACTTGAGAGAAATCAAATGTGAATAGTTTTAAAAGGGATATTGATGATCGTTGAATGAATTTAATTGAAACCGTCGAATAAACTTGTTGAAACTTGTATTGTTTTATATAATTTCTATTCATTTGAGTTTGTATTGATCTATTTATTTGATGAATCTTGTAGTTTCATTTGTTTATCACTTGAACTCATCAAGATTAAGCTATTTTTCCTTTATTGCCACTAAGGCTAAAATCAGACCATCTATTCCTATGTCGATTTCGATTTAGGTTAAGCTATTTTTTCTTTATTGCCACTAAGGCTAAAATCAAACCATCTATTCTTATGTCGATTTCGATTTAGGTCTGCAAATGCGCATAGAATTGTCACTTATTTACAAATATTTTATTTTTTATGGATTGGAAATAAATATAGACTAGTAAATTTTAATACAATTGGTGATGCAACTGCAACATAGTATTTTTTTGACATAAATTTGGCCCGAGATATGAGTTGTAAGTGTGCTTTCATGTTAAACTCATTTAATAAAAGAAGGAAAATGCTATTTGAACCTTATTTTGGAGACTTTATTTAATATTTAATGATGTATAATCATTAGATTAGTTGTAAAATTCATCTAATATTAGAACTCACAACTAATTTAATGGTTACATTGAAACCACACAATTAATCTAATAATTACATTAAAATCACTAGATCCACAAATAAAATCCTCAAATAAAATCCTTATAACGTTGCTCATACAATAATAAACACCACTAACAATATTTATTTTTTTAATCACAACTATTCTGGTGCTCATTCACTTGATTGATGTTAGACTTCGCGCATGGTCATCTCTTCAAACAGGTGGTTAACTCTTAGGTGGTGGCCCAAATAGATACATACTAGTAGGATATTTAAACCCCGACACACACTTATTGAGGTGCGTGTCAAATGACTAAACTATCTTTGAAATAATTCACGAAATTGATAAAAAAAAATAATTATAGTTATAACACACTAAATTATATTCACCTTATATTATAATTGAGAAGTTGAATTTTTAACTTATAAAAATATAACGCGATCAAGATCGATTTAATTTTTATTTATTTTAATCCAATATTATAAAATTCATTCCATTTTTTTTCTAGCTAAAAAAATATTATTTTCTCTAGTCATTCTCAATGTCAAATAAATCAATCATACACTCTTCAATATTGACAATCCCACTAATTCATAATTACTCCTCTTTCATCTTTTCTTTGCATCTCTATTATTTTCTCTCTGTTTATTTTAATTTTAAATTATATAATTTTAAATATAAAATATAATTATTATTTAAATATAAAATATTATGCAATCAATTTTCAAATTTTAATATTGCATAGTATCTTTAAACATTTGATTATTACTAGTTTATATATACTACACATGATGTAAAAATTAAATCACTTTTATCTATACTACTGATAAAAGTATTTTAACATGAAAAATTTTTGACTCACTATTTTACCCTTATAAAGAATTAAAAAGGTCATTTTATCCTTTCACACTTAATATCTAAATTACTATCATATCCTTATGCATTTAAATTTCTAAATTACATCTAAAATTATTTCTAATTATACATTCCCTATGTATAAATGTCAATTTTTATGAAACTTTTTGATTGATTATATTACTCTTAAAAAATATATATGCATCATTATAAATTTTAACAATATATTCAAAAAAAAATTCAAAAATCCCATCAATATGATATTATTGACCTCATTTATAAAAATAATATTATGACTACATATGTATATTTTATTTTCATCAAAATGTATTGTATATTTTATTTTTCACAAAAAATGTTTAACCCTTTTATTTTTAAGATAAAAAATAATGTATATATAGTTTTACACGATTTTTTAGTCACAATAAACTTTTTATATTGTGTTAAAATTTTATGTGAAAACTTAAATTATTTTTGAATTTTAATATACTTTATAATATATATTATAGTATTGTATAAAATTTTATCCCAATTTATCTTGATAATCCTAAATACAGTAAGGTTCCAATATGATTGGTATATTGATAATTATTTTTATTTTATTCAAGGATTTATAAGTGGAATCTTAATCAAATTAATTTTTTAATCATCTATTATGTATTTATAAATGTCAATTTTTATGAAATTTTTTGATTGATTATATTACTCTTAAAATATATATGTATTATTATAAGTTTTAAAATATTCAAAATTTTTTTTAAAAACTCCATCAATATAATATTACTCATCTCGTTTATAAAGATAATATTATGACTCCACACACACACACACACACACACATATATATATATATATTTTGTCAAAATGTTTAACCATTTTATTTTTAAGATAAAAATTATGCATATATAATTTTACATGATTTTTTAGTCATAGTAAACTTTTTAAATTGTGTTAAGATTTTATGTGAAAACTTGAATTTTTTAAAAATTTTAATATGTTTTATAATATATATAATGATATTATATATTAAATTTTATCTCAGTTGACCTAACTAATCCTAAATACAGTAAGAGTTCCTATACGATTGGATTATTGATATTTATTTTTTATTTTATTCAATGATTTATAAGTGGAATCTTAATCAAATCAATTTTAAAATATTTAATTTTCAAACATCACTAAAATATCACTTTCAATTACAAACTTATTGAAAAAAATAGAACTTTAATTATTTATTTTCTTTTTTTTTTTTATTATTTTCTTATAGTTAGAATAACAAATCTTGAAAATATATAAAGTTTTCAAAAATTCTATAATGAAGCTAGAGCGATGAAAAAATAAGTTTAATAAATTTGAGATGATTTTTAATCCAAATCCAAATACAAAATATTTATTTATTAATTTTTTTAAAAAAATTAGTCACGTGCAACGCACGTGGTGCATTGCTAGTAACATAAAAATGACTTAACCCAATATGTGCTCACCACATATATACCACAATTTTTTTTTTGTTTTAACGGTTATGGGTGTTTGGCCAAGCTTATGCGCGCCTCGACTAATTCTCTTATCGGTTCGGTTAAAAGCAAAATATCCACGTTGAAATTAGGGTTTTCATGAGGGATAATTTTTTCATAGTCTAAGTTTAAAAAACTATTAAGATTCGAATTCATTACATCTAAATTTATAACTCGTACTTATTATCACTTGAAGTACCCTTGAAATATACCACAAAAATATTCAAATTGACATTTTCATCCACACCACCACGAAATTTATGAAATTTAAAAAGCAAAAAAAGAAAAGAAAAAAAAAAAGTGAATGGAAAATTTATCAGAGCCTCTTATATTCCAGACAAAGTTCGTGTCACGTGTGGTAGACACACCTGGCCTTCCTCAGAAAATCCATCCTTATCCTAGTCATTGATACTAGTTTTTTCTTCTTCTTCTTCTTCTTCTTCTTCATCCTCCACCTCCACGGCAGTTCTCTCTCTCCCCTATCATCTATTCATGTCGTCGATATCTAGGCCAACTTTCCCTTCCCCATCATCAACTCGCTCTGATCCAAGCCCTCACAAATTCACCACCTTTACAAACCCTAAATTCCCCTCATGTGTCAACCGATCATCGCCATCAAACCTCCATTCTCACACTTTATCCAGCTCTACCTCTCATTCTCTCTCTAGGGTTTCTGATTCCAACCTCTGTCGCTGCCACAACTCGAACAACAACAACGACAACAGACCATCGCCATCTGAGAATTCGTCCTGGCGATGGGACGCTGCGATTCAAGAACTAACGGGAAATGTGACTAAGTGGTTCGATCATTACATGATTTCGAGGAAGGAGATTTCGAGGAGTGTTGGTGTTGTGGAGAGTGGAAGTGAGGTGGATAGTGATGATGATGTAGAGTGGGATTGGGAGCGGTGGAGGAAGCATTTTAGCGAGGTTGATGAGCAGGAGCGCATTGTTTCGATTTTGAAGGTAACTTGATGGTTTTTATTGATTGTTTAGCGAGTATAATTGTGAATGCATGTGAGTATTATCAGATAGGAAAAAAATATGTTTTTATAATCAAACATAAATAAATCAAATAACTGACAAATTAGAGTTTAGAGGGCATTTATTTTTGTGTTTTTAGAAATCGGGAAAAAAATCTGGTTCAAGTTTGTTTCAGTAGGAGGGTATAATGAATTGAATTGGACAAAAAATAATTCTAAATTTGAACAATGCTGCCCCTGGCAGCTTAAAAATGAGGCTTTGGGATTGGGAAAAAAATTTAGATCAGTCTTTGAACTAGTTTCTCTTCAGTCCAATTCAGAGGCCCGGATTCTATGCAGCCAAATGCAATGTCAGCCATGGGCTGTGGAGGAAAATCCTTACAATTCTGGTATGGTGTAGTGGCCATATGATGTCACTTGTGTCTGAGGGGTTCATGCAGGCTGCATAGAATTGAACCAGCACAATTCTGCATCCCCATGTCCGGGTTGATTGTTGAAGGTGTGTGAAAGGTGGTTTGATTATAACTGAAGGTGCTGAAGTGCAAGAGTGGAGAAGGAGGAGTGATTTAATATTACCATGGATTCAAATAAGTTAAAAGAGTAAGGCTAGTGAAAACGTGGATTGAGGTGGTGAGAGGAGACATGATTGCTAATTATTTAGTATGCATAACCATTCTACCACCTGAATGGCGTGGTTCAAGAGGATGTCAAAGATATTCATTTCATTTTTTTTAATACTTTTAGGTTCTTTGCATATAAACCAAAATTGGACAGTTTTGAACTGGAATGTGACGTAGAGAAATGGGCTAATCCTGTGAGAAGATCCTCAGGAAATTATTTTCCTTTGTTGGTTTATCACCTTTTCTTTTCTTCGTAACTTTAAGAGGAGGTCTCCTCCTTTCTTGCATGCTCTTCTGCTTTAGTTTAAGGTTACTACAATGTGGATGGAGAATTGAGTTTGACACATTGTATGAATCCCACCCCACCCATATATTGTCACTTTTCAGCCACTTCTCTCTTTTATCTCCATGACTTCCCTTTTTATCTATATGGTATTTCCCTTCTTTTACTAATATAAAACTTGCTCGTAAAAGGCCAAAATTGTAAAAAGGTGTGAAAGTTAGCACAATGTGGACGGAGAGATGAGTTTGGAACGTAGAATGAATCCCACTCCACCCCTCTCTTGTCACTCGTCAGCCACTTGTTTCTTTTTTTCTCCGCCTTCCCTTTTTATCTAAATGGTCTTAGCCTTCATTTACGTCCTCTTCTTTGTCTTTGTTACATCATGCTCCCATCTTTTTTTCTCTTGCACAATATTCTGTGTAAAGTTTGTCCGTTATCTTTCCTCCTCTCTCCTCTATTCCTCTACTTCTTTCTTGGTCTCTCTCTATCCCTCCTGTAGTCTTCCAGGTGCACTGCACCTGTCTATATATTGATGCATGTGGAGATTATTTGGCTCTTTAGTCCATTTAGCATTCAATTTGGGACTAACTAGAATGCTAATGGAAAAATATATGATTTTTTTGTCACCAAAATGAGAATATAAATATATGATGGCAAAAAGAACTGAGTGCTGACTCAAGGACTTGAATTTTAGTTTTGGAACTTGGAATGTTCAAGAAGATCCATCATACTTAGCGTGGGCTGTCATTGACTGCTTTTATGCAGCACTTGCATTTTTACTTCAGGAATATTCATCATACGAGCTAGGGTAGTTGTTGATTGTTTTATGCTTTTCTGCACGTGAACTATTTTGCTTCAATAAGACATGGTTTATAAGGAGTTTTTTAGATTCACAGAGTTGTGTTCCTCCCTTGAACATAATATTTTCATTACAATTATATTTATGCATTGACACCGTTTGTCTCGACAGTCGCAGTTAGCTGATGCTACTAAAAGAGAAGATTATGTTGATTCTGCTAGGCTTAAGGTGGCAATTGCAGCTGCAGCTACGAATGACACAGTTGGCAGAGTGATGTCTCATCTGAATGTGGGTGAAACAATTTACTACTGTTGTTTGCAAAATGTCGGTCATTGTTTGTTTAATAAGTGAATCCTATCTTGCAGAGAGCCATTGAGGAAGAGCGTTATCAAGATGCAGCTTTTGTACGAGATTCTGCTGGTACTGGTTTGGTGAGTTACCAGATTTATTTTCAGAGGACATGGCACACATCATTGTCAGTCCTGTTGCACTTTTTAAGTATAGCAGGCTACTACTGAAGTCTATATTTGGTGCCATGGCAACTTTGAGGGTGGATTATGTCTTTCTGAAAAAAATTTGTCCTCGGGAGTTGTTTGATGGGGCGAGTGATGTGCATTTTGAGAAAATGGAAAAAAAAATGTTGAAGGTTCTCTCATTTTCTTTTTGAGGAGCTTGCCAGCAAAAGATCCTCTTTGCTCATAGATAATGGTGTACCCTATCATTCTGTGTTCACTGTTGTCTATTCGATGTATTAATGGGTTTGTTGTCGGACTTTATTTTAACCCTGTTTTTATGGACTCGTGGCTTTTAATGCAGCCTCTCTTTATCTCTCTGTCTGAGAAAGTATCTATTATTGTTTTTTATTATCATTGGGAATTCTGCAGGGTTTTGACTTTTGATGGACTTATTCTTCATTCATAGCAGAGGGTACTTTTGTTCTTTGCATGTTATGTGTTTAATTGTTCTCAGTTTTTGTTTCCTTAATCGGGTGTTTCAGGTGGGATGGTGGGCTGGAATTTCAGAAGATATTACCGATCCATATGGTCGCATCATTCATATAAGTGCCGAGCATGGAAGATACGTGGCAAGAACTTATAGTCCCCGGTAAGGTTACTCAATTTATGTGGAGTTCTATGTTGCCTAGCACACCTAAAATAAAGTGAAGTTATGCTTTATATATTGATAAATAAAATTTCCATGACATTTTTGTTGTTTTAGATGTTGGAATGACCCAAAAAATAAAAAGGAAACTATAAAATGAGAAAGTGAAAAATCATCTATGCTACTGACTCAGGCAATTTTGGCAGCCACATTTAAAGGAGTGTTCTTATGATAATAAAAACAATAATATAGCGTCAAGAATGAAATCCACTGCCTTTAAGTTTGAAGTAGGTGTACTTTTGCATATATGGGTGTAAATAACAAAACTTATGTTATGGATTGTACTCTTGGTAATTTGTAGTGCAAACTGGCTCATTGGTAGAGCAGAATTTTCTTGTTCCTCACATTTTGGAAACTGCTATTTCAAAAATGATTGCTTTGCTAATTCTGAATACTAAAAAAAGTAATTCTGATTCATGCTTTTCTCGTGCGGCATATATCTTCCCGAGAATGCTATACTCTATGTTGACCATATATGAATTTTCAATGCTTAGATTATTTTTGTCTTATACTATTGGAACTAGCAGTGAGATTGTTAATCCACATATTACTTTTTTCAAATCATGTTAAGTAATATACACGCACTCATGTCCTACTTAGAACTTGAATGCTGCACTTTCCCCTTTAAAGGTGGAAATAGCTACTACTCAAGCTAACTGCTGGTGGTTTGTAAGGCCTGTGTTTACTGCAGAGGTTTCACTAATATGTTTTATCCGTTTATTTATTTTGATAGGTTCACCAGTTACTCTTTTGAAAGTTCTTTGGCCATTGACTTTTGCTTTCAGGCAGCTTGCCACAGACACAGCTGGTGCACCCCTGTTTGAGATATTCCTTACAATGAATAAGAAAGGCGAATATAAACAGCAGGTGTCTCTCTGGTCTCTTTGCTGGCCCAAGTCAGCTTATAATTTGCTGCATAAGTAAGAACTGGGCTTATCAGTAAACTTTGAACTTCATCATCTAGTCAATAGGGAGACTCGTTGTGGATATTCTATCAGCTTAATACTTGCAGATTTTTTCATGCAACCGTTATGGAATGACCAGACTTGAAATAGCGTGGGTAGAACAAGGGTCATGGTTTATATTCCATTATCAGCTGTGAAGCAGTGGCATAAATACCACTAGTGAATGAAGCAATACTCCAAGTAAGAATAACATGGACAGATAACGATTAGCAGACTTCATGGGAAAGGAAACCTGACAATTGTTGAATATTAAGCATAAGCATAAGAAAAGTCTCGCCCTATTTCATGCAGCTCTTTCTTTCTAGTTCTCACTCCTTAATTTTTTCTGTTTCTGAATCCCTTGAATTTTCTTCTTCTTATCATATGTTGTGTTGGTACTTTAGAGAGGCAGCTGTGGAGGGTTGTACTTTAGGGCTCGCTTAGGATGTTTTGAGGTGACAATTAAGTTGATATTCAAAGGTTCTTTAACAACCACTAGGTGATGTACTTTTAAGCTTCTGAATCACATATTACTTACTTCATCTCTGTTTGTGTGCATGACATTGCGAAGAATGTTTTATGTATTTTCAGATATAAATTCAGATAAACATTCATGTATTTTTTGTTGATTAATGGCCCATTGTGTTCATACATTCTTGGTTGTTTTGCTCAAGCCATCTTCGTTTTTTCGGTAAGAATGATATTTTTCATGACAATATGACTTGATTCATGTTATTTTCAGGCTGTGTACTTAAAGCGTAAAAGAGTAACTCAAGATTTACCGGTTGCTTCCTCCATGGCATCCTTCCCTACCAGTTACTTGAACTCCCTAGACCCAACTGACGACAGAAGTGATCTGTTTCCAAAAAGCACTGAAGCTATGGAAGATGGTGAAGACAGGGATGATGATCCAGATTTAGTTGAGGGATTGTCTGGTTTTGAGAATATCTTGCGAGATATGATTCCTGGTGTGAGGGTCAAAGTTTTGAAGGTGACAACACCAGGGAAGGTAGATCGGGATCTAATATCTAAGGTGATTGATCAAATGATGGAGGAAGAAGATGAAGACAAGGACACTGAAATTGAAAGCATAGATGTGGAAGATAGGTCTAAAGATGAGAGCGACGAAGAGCAAGACGAGATTGACGCCAATGCCGATAGAGGAATTCTCGATGGTGAAGAGCAACAGCAAATTGCAGTTAAGGTTGTTGTTGGTGGTCTTGGACAGAGAATTTCTAGCAGTACACCACATAAATATTTACTTCGAGTACCAGCTAGGCTAGAGAAAAAGGGCCGATTGTCATTTTCTTTTTCTATAGAGGAAGATGACAATCAACATGTTCCCGGTGGCAATGGACAGTCTCCAGTGAATAAAAAGTCGAAGCTCCCAGGGCAACGTAGCATAGACAACGTTATGTTAGATCTTACAAAGTTCATTGGCAAGGGGAGGATACCCATGAAGGTTAGTTTTAGTTTTGAATGGCATACTCTGTAATTCTGTTTATAATTTTGATCCCATTTACTATATGTGCATACCACTCTCCAGCCAAGGTTTGGTAGTTCATAATATGCGCTTTCCTTTTTTCAGGTACTGAAAGATGTTGGTGAATTGATAAATCTTACCCTCAGTCAGGCTCAAAATCGTCAACCACTGTCTGGATCAACAACATTCAACCGTATTGAGATTCCAGAATCTCCAGATCCATTAAATGGTAGCCTAATTTTGATATTTGTTACTCTCTATGTGAATGCTTTTAATATTCAACATTCCATGTTTAGAATCAACACTATCTCTCCGTCTAGCACCTTCTCTATCTTTTCTACCATCTCTCTCTTCGTTCTCTAGAAATGTTTTACTATTGAGTTGAATACATTACCTCCTTTTATGGGGGTGTGTAGAGAAGAACTGACCTACAACGCAAGTCGATGAAGCATAGCTAAGCTATAAATAAGGAGCTGGGTCTTCACTTAAAGGGTGGCGAAAGTGTGGTGTGCTTTAAGTGTTGAGTGCAAAGTGTGTGAGTGATGTGATTGCTGTCCAAGTGTGTCATGTGAGGGTAGGTATCTAAGGGTAGAGTAGGGGTCTTACGTGACACCCAGCAAGTGTCTTATAGAACAGTTATGCCATTTGAGTGGTATCATACTACTTGAGTGCGGATGGTACAATGTGTTGTGTCAAATATACTTATTGTGTATGAGTGTTTTGTTTTGCTATATAATATAGAAGTTTCGTGTTCATCCTGCTCTAAACTCAACATTTGGTATCAGATCTCCTTTCCAACTCAACATTCCACTGTCATGCTGTCTTCTGCAGTACATTGCATCTACTAAGGGGGCTTTATCCCAAACTTGTGATGAATGTATTGGGATGTTTTTTATTTTATCAGGACTATATATTGGTGCACATGGGCTTTATACTTCGGAAGTCATCCATCTACGACACAAATTTGGCCAGTGGCAAGAGGGTAGTAGCACAAAGGAGTATTCAGATCTTGAGTTTTATGAGTACGTGGAAGCTGTGAAAATAACAGGGGACCCTTATGTGCCAGCCGGCCAGGTAATTTTTGTTCTTTGTTTTATTATATAACATAGATTTTTCTATTACTACTGTTACTTTTTTCTCTTTCTTTTTGGTTTTTTGTTTGCTGTGTGCGTGTTTTTGGGGTTTTTTTTTTTTTTTTTTGGGGGGGGGGTGATTCATAATCTTGCTTGCAGGCAGCTAACCTGTCCCCGAGTAAGCTTGTTTTGGCTACAATCATGCTTATCTGGATTAGGGCATGACATCTGGTCATATATATTTACAAAAACCATATCCATCAGAAATCTATGAGATTGCTAATTTCCTTCATAAAAGTAGATATAGATTTCTTGGAGTGAATGTAGCTTTGACACCAAATGACCCCTTATTTCGTCAGGTGTATATTTCATCATGCAATTATATTGCACACCTTTGTTTATAGAAGTTGTAGGTCCAGTTCTGTCCTGTTACCCCCTGCATTAACATCAAAATTGTCTTGCATTACTTATGATGATTTCAGGTTCATGTACTTTTGTTTTTTTGCTTTGTTATTTAATGGGGGAAGAGGTGGTTGTGCTTTTCATTGTCTTTCTACAAGAGTTGTCTAGATATTGACCTTGTCTCCAAAATTTTGATGATAGAATAAAATCCTTTGATTGACAGGTGGCATTCCGTGCTAAAGTTGGAAAAAGATATCAGCTTCCTCATAAAGGAATCATTCCAGAAGAATTTGGAGTGGTATGTGGTTTTCAGTTGGTTTGTATTCTTGGTGCCCGTTCTTCATATAGGTGGATCATTTTGCTAGCTGTACCTTATGCTGCCTCACTTTCCATTTCTCTTTTTGTTGACTATATTTTTGTGGTCTTATCGGCAATCTAGATTGCTCGATATAGAGGACAAGGCAGGCTTGCTGAGCCAGGGTTTCAAAATCCTCGATGGGTTGATGGGGAACTAGTTATTTTGGATGGAAAGGTTTTCAGTGCTCTCTATTATCTTGTCCATTTTTTCTCTGTGGCTATGGTTTTCTTGAAAGATAGATGCTTACTCTGCAATACGTTCCTTATTGGATTTGTGCAGTACATTAAAGGGGGGCCTGTTGTTGGGTTTGTGTATTGGGCTCCTGAGTATCATTTCTTGGTGTTCTTCAATCGGCTGAGGCTTCAACAGTAGATGCTCCATGTACAGGAAGTTTGACCTTCGTTATCCTTTGGCCAGATTTCATAGGTTTGTTCTTTCTCATGAAAAATTAAGCACACTAGATCTCATGACAATACAAGGTTCATGGTATAGAAAAATTTGTCAAGTTGGACCATTTTTCAGTATATGGATCATGGTGAATGCCTCATTGAGTTGCAGTCTTGATACCATAAGCCTTGTTAGCCAAAACTGAACTCTAGATGAATCCCATGAAATATGAGTTTAATATTTAGATAGAGAGTCTCGTACTGCAATTTCAGTCACTCAATGTGCAAGTGGCCCCATCAGATCAGGCTGCACCAGGGATGACTCAACCTTGGCTGAAACAAGAAATCATATGCTTAAGCTCAACCCCAGTTTTAGTCTATCCAGGAGGGTTATCTTCAGGTTGAGTTTGGTTAGAACAATTCCATATTTCATTGACAACAACCTGATTAAACTTTAACGTATTTATGCTCCTTGGCCCAAACAATGAGTTAAATATGCTTGATGCACTATGCTGTATTGGAAATTAATGTAAAACACTTGTAGTTTGTTGCCCATGGTGGGGGTCTGAGTTTGTAATGAGCTTAGCATAGTCTGAACTTCAATTTTGGCCAGAAACCTTTGCGAAGTTGAGCCCATTCCAAAGAGGCTCATATCAAACCCTTCGGTCAAATTGGCAGGTATTGTGCTGGTTCAGCTGCTATAACTCATTTTTGACGGAATGGACATAATAAAATGACAATATGCATTGGAATTCACTGTTTTAAACCCCCTCCCCTCCTTTATTTCCTTAAAAAGAAAAAAAAAGAACATCATCAAAACACCCATCCCCCAAAAAACTAATTTCCTACTTTCAATCATTAAAAGATGATGACGGGGATGGTCCAGGAAAAACAAATACCCAAGTACCTTGATTCATGTCTATGATCATTTGGGTGATTCCTGACCAAGGAACATATTTGTGAGGCCCAAACTGCGGCCCATGCTTTGCAAGGGAGTTGTATTGACAAACAGTTCTTTATTAGTAACTGTAAGATAGGTTCTTTAAATCTAGGTTTATTTGGTTTCATCATTGCAGGGACATGCTGTGTAAATTCCATAACACAGGCATTTTTCAGTGGCAGCTTACCACTATATCATTGGCCAAAACGATTGTCTTTCTGGATTCTCTAAAAATTTTCTTGCCCTCATATGTTTTCTTTGCAGGATGACATTTGTTGCCCATGTCCACCAGACAATCATTTTATGGGAAGGTGGTCTCGCTGTAGAGCAGCAGATGAGAGGCCAGGAGATGTCAAACTTCACATCTTGTGCTCACACGATGGACACGTAATTATAAGCATCTTGAAGCAGTAGGATAAGAAAACAACTACAAAAGTTTTGAGGTGGGGTTAATTTTTGGGTGCAATTACAAAGTTTTGTGATCTAGTGAATTTTTACGTTTCAGCACTTTTCTAGGGGATCCAATTGTCCATCAATGTATGTATATCCGCAGCTATACTAGTCAAATCGCTGACAAGGAAATTCTTACCTAAACTGATGTGATTAGTGAAGCTTTTATCATGTAATTTCTTTCATCTCTACTTATTGATGCCAACTTAAGTGAAGATTGAAACAGCATAACTGATATATGTTGTCTTTAAGCCCATTTTGACAGACCTTGTACCGTTGATATGCTTGCTGCTGCTCATAAAAATATATGCTTGTTGCTGCTCATAAAAATATATGCTTGTTGCTTTGATTCTCCTTTAAACCGAGAAATGTACTGGATGTTTGTTGGTTTTGTGTACATAAATGTCCCAGGTAAAGAAAAATTGAGTGATCTAGGATAAGAATGAACCAAGTTCGTTCTGGTATTTTTCTGATTATTGGTAAGTTTTCTGGACTGATTGAATCAACTGGTCCAGTTGGTAAATGTTTTTTGATTGGCTGAAGTTAATCAATCGGTCCAGAATGTTGTAACTTGATTTGTCTGAGTTTTAATGTTTGTCCTTTTACTGTGTTGGTCACAATCGCATTCTTACATGAGCATTATACATCAACCTTGCACAAGCAAGGGGTTAAGAATGCTTACGACCTTATAAAGATCCTGTTGTTGCAGGAGTATTGTGTGGTGAGATACCGTTTCACATTTCTAATAAAATGAGAGAATTATCAATGCTCGGCTGAAGTGAGAGAAACTGAGACAGTCACATAATAGATTGGTTTCAAAAAAAAGTATCCAAAATTATAATCTTTCCCATAAAAATTCCTCTTTCACACCTTTCATGAACTTCATCAAGAAATTTTTTCTATTCATGTACTTTTTTGGGTCAGAGAAAAAAGGGGGAGAGATGATTAATAGATAATAACCTTTGAGCGTGATCACGAAGGTCTCTATTAGTGTAGAATATTCAAATCATAGCTATTATTAATCTAGAAAGACAACGCATGTATTATTCGTACTTTGTTTTTCTGTAGTTTGTGGCATTCCAATATCCTTTTATATACTCTTCCCTTGAAGTTGGTTCACCTAGCCTTTTCCCAGATGATTTAATTTCATTACTTCCAGCCCACGGGCCACTGTTTTCCGATATTATTGTTAAGTTAACTTAAGTCTTAAAATTGAACACTTTTAATACTTAATGAATTAAACTGATTTGATAACTCAATAATAAAACTCCTTCATAAAATAAGTCTCTTAAATGCAAGACAAAAATTTAAGTAAGTCTATACCTATTTAAGGCGGTGATTGATAAAATTGAAAGCTGAAGTCAGAAAACTGAATGCTAAATGCTGAATTCATAGACTGTTTGATATTCATCCAAATTTAAGTATTAAATTGAAGTAAACTATTTGATAACTACATAGATCTAAGGTCTGAAAATAAATTAATTTATATTTTTGAAAATATTTATAAAATATACTTTTATCGAATAAAAAACTAAGATATATTAAATCAGTTTAATTTATAACATAAATCATAATCACTATTATCGTATTGTAATCTATATTTAACAAATATGATAATAAAATTAATTTAAGTTAAATTGATCACATAAAACTAACAATTGTCATAAATTTTAAAAATTAAAACTAGGATACAAATTAGGAGTATTAAAGATAAAAATTTGTTATTTGTATTATGACAACAACTTTGGTCTTCAACTATTTTAACCAAAACCCATTAATTAATGGTCAATTTACAGGGAACCCATGAATCCACAGTGAACCAAAATCAACCCGAAACCCACAAACTATTATTATTTGTGTATGTGAGAGACAGTGTAATTTCGGTGGGTGGTTGCGGTGAGATTTTAAGAGAGAGAGAGGGAGAGAGGTTATGAGACTTGAGAGAGAGAACCTCTTCAAGGGAGAAACAGTTGGTAGGTGATGACCGTCACGGAGATGGCTGGTGTTGGTATCAGCGTAATGATGGAGATCAAAAGGTTTGATCAAAAGGACAACGTTTGATCAATTAGACCCAACGACAACGTTTGATCAAAAGGTTTCGACAAAGAGACTCAAGATCAAATCCAACCCAATGGAGTTTGATCAGAAGTGTGAGAGAGAGAGAGAGAGGAGTTTTTGATGAGAGAGAAGGTGGATATGATTTGAAGGAGAGGGGTGCATAGGGATAAAATTGTCATATTATAAATATTATTGAAGATGATTTTACTAAACGCTTTTAACTTTTAGAATTAATGATCTCTTACTTAATATTGTAACATATTTTTAAGAATTACTTAATATTGTAACCTACTTTTAAGGATTACTTAATATATTAAGTTATTAAAATTTTAGTTATCAAACGAATTTTATTAATGAGTGTTGAATACATTTATTTTAAACGCTGAATTTGAATTAACAAACACACCCTTAGTTTGGTTCTCATTTTGCATTTCGATATATTGCTTCAATTTCAATTTCAAGGACATAACGGTATATTAGTTATTTTAATCTTTTGAGTTTTAAATTTTAATTTGTATTCTTAAAGTTTAAAAATAATAATTTATATCCCCAAAGATATAAAGATAAATTATATCTATAGCCTCTGAACTTTGTCACTAAAACACACAGACCCCGTCAGGTATGACATATTACTTTAACACCCCCGTCAGCAATTAACACACCTAACAAAAGTTCTAAAACTATTATTTTGCCCCTATTCAAAATAAAAATAAAAATCCTTAGCCAACCCATATATTATACCATAGTTCGACTTGACCCACATGCTTCTCCATCACTTCCAGACTTCCAATGATGGGATCCGACTCCTCTGCGGTTGGAGAGTTACCGCATAACATACGGTTTAATAAAACGTCACCGTTTTACGACATTTTAGATTTTTTTTTTTAAATCTTACACAAAAAACGGCACCGTTTTTTATCCTCCCAGATTAGACCCAATATCGTTCACAAAACCCTGTATCTGTGTTCCTCACAACCCAACAGCAACCATGGTCATCGCCATCGCCACCAATCTCTCATCTCTATCACCACCCGTTGACAAACCCTACTCTCTCTTCAAAATCCCATCTCTCAAACCTTTTTCTGTCTTCCTCATAACCCTCCCAAAATCACTCTCTGTTTTGCACACCCATCTCTCAAGTGTTATATGTATTTTAAATTATGTCTTAATGAATTCATGAAATGTACCGAAAATATGAAACTGAATAATTTTGCATTTTCATTGATGTTCATTTTTGAGAGAAAATTAAAAGGAAATAATTGGTGAGATAAATGTAGCTCTGCAACTAAAGACTGGCCAAATTTTTGGAGTTTCAGAAGATAGCCTCCTCACCTGTGAGAGGAGTTTTAGATCGCAGATCCAGCCAAACCCTTCTAGCCATTTCAACAAATGCTTTGAAAAACTATGTTTCTAGGTACTCCCCAGAATTAATTTTCTTTCTCTGATTCAGATTCCCGGAAAATAAAGTCTCCATTTTCGGGTGAACCAAACGGAGATACTTGGTCTTCAAGAACTTCCCAACCAAAGAATCTATATTTTTCTTGAGAAAATGAATTGAACCCACTGATTTTAATGTCTTGAACTAATCAAAGAAAAAAAATCGACTCAAATTATCATCTGTTAAAGCCTCATTTAGGAGAGAGAAATTGGGTTTGTTGAACCCATCAAACATTTCTTTGCATACAAATGATTCAAAAGCGAAACCTTTGTGATTTGTGTTCTCGAATATAACTCCAGGCTCTATGGCATTTGAAGCAGCTTCGATATCCCAATTCGCAGACTCCATTTCTCTTATCAAAAGCTTCGCAGAGTTCCTCATAGATCTTAACCCATAATTCAAATCCATTGTAAAATCTTTTGGATTTGAATCAGAGAGCTTAACATTATCAAGAATAGAGAAGGGATCTTCAGATGGAGCAGCGATTAGATGACGAAGACGAAGGTAGACAACGAGAGGAAAGAGAAGGGATCTTCAGATGTGGATTTGAAGAACCAAAAACGACGTCGTTTTTGGTTAGGTCTGGTAAAAAAAAATTATAAAAAGCACCCAAAAATGGTGCCGTTCCACTTAACCGCATGTCATGCGATTTTCTCCCAAAAGTAGAGGATCTGCACCTTCCAATGATGTCTGCAAAATGCACAAAACATCTCTTCTCCCTTTCTTCACTGCCCAACACCAAACCCCTCCACCCACAACACCTTAGTTCCCATACCAATCACCATTCTCCTCCACACCTAAGCCTATAACTCACCCACACCCATATATCTTCCTACTGTCCTCATCCTTCTCTCTGTGTGTGTGTTTTATTGCTAACCGCCATTGCACCACTATGGCCACCATCAAACCCATCACTACACCATAAAATCCATATCACAGAACAACAATGACTACAACCAGACCCACCACTTGCACAACCAGACCAATCAAAGCCTAATTTGTGATTTGTGTCTATTCCATGGCGGCGATGACAAAAATTTAGCAAGGAGAATGAGAGAGAGACAAAGGAAAATTAAAATGGGTTAGCCCCTTAACAGTGTCTTTTTCCTTGAATTTCGAGGTATCAATTTTGCCACTCCTCTCCCTGTCAAATCTCTCAAATATAGCCTTCCATTTCTATAAACTATAAAAAATTGAAGTGAATTCTGTACAATGCTAACAGAGGATGATACCCAAAAGCCGATAACGATGGTGGTGGAGCACCAGATGCGGTGGAAGGTTTGTTTTCCTTTGCGGGTTTATTCGGATTACCACCGTATGAGACTGAGGGGGTGGGGCTAAGGCGTAGGGTGACTGACCTGAGGCGGTGATGGGACGGCGTATGGTTGATGCGATAAAAGAGAGAAGGGCATAGGGTGTAAAATTAAGTGGGGTGGTTTTAATTATTTCTACGAGGATATTTTAGATTAAAAAAAATATGATAAAATAATCAAAATTTAATAGTGTTTCAAATGATTTTTAACGGTAAGAATCTATGGTTACAGGTGTACAAACCTTCAGGGGTGTCAATGTAATATGTTGAATCTAAGGGGGTTTGTATGTTTTAATGACAAAGTTTAGAGGTCTTGTTGTAATTTACCCAAGATATAAATACGTATTAATATACACCCGGATCTAATTGTCATCTATTTTGTCATTAAAAAAGTTTAAATTAATTATAAATTGTACCCCTTAAAGTTTAAATATTTTACATTTATGATTTAAAAAAAATTTCTTCATTCGCTAAATAGCTCTCAATTATATCGTGTCATAACATTTTCGTGTCATATTTGAGTTAATAAAAAAATAT